CCCTGATGGCACTGATTATTTCATTATTATAAATGTATATTATTAATCTCATACTTAATATTAAGACACTAATATGTATATGGAAACAATAAATTTCTTTATACCTAACAAGTGTTTCCTTGAAAAAATGAATTTGATAGGCCAATATCATGTCTCTGAAGGGGCCGTCCATAAATTACGTCATCGATTTTTTCAGAATTTAGACCCCCCCCCCCCCCCCACAATCATCCTATCGTCATTTCTTAATGACCCCCCCCCCCCTTCTCCCAAAATTGACGTCATTACCAGTTTGACAAAATTAAAACATTGCAGATTTGAGAAAAGCTAGTATTATATGTAATATTATTGTTAGAGTATTTTATCTGTAGTTATTACTGTATTTGTGTACATCTATGTTGCATTATGTATGTTTATTATGAGTTATTTTAGTATTGTACGCGCCTTAGCCGCCTTTCACATTTGCAGTCTCACTTACTAGGTGTGCTGGAAGAAATTTCTTTTTAGAAATAATCTTTTTGTACGTGAACAATAAACTGTAAATAAATAAGAATGACGTCAATTTCGACCCCCCCCCCCCCCCCCCCCCGCTAATTTAGAATGACGTAATATATATATGGACGGCCCCGAAGTGCAACCGTTTAAATTTCTGAAATATCGGGAGCTCACAACGAGTAAAACACGTGATAAATATCCCGTTATTATAAAATATATTTGATTACATAATGTTGTCTCTTCTTTGGACATAAATGAAACTCCGTAATTTGTATTTCGATACTTTAACATGAAATTTTGCTTATTTAATGAAGCCAGTACCTACGTCGCCATTATACGAGAACAATGTGAATGACAAAAATCCGAAGGTAGTGTAAAAAGTTCCTATGAAATACATCGCTTCTTGGACCATGGGAGATTGCTGCTGTCGAAACGCAGGCGCGAACAATGTTAACAATGTTTTCATCATCAGCCTCTTTATGTCCCCACTGCTGGGGCACAGGCCTTCCCTATGGATGGAATAGGGAGATTGGGCCATGACCCACCACGCGGGCCCAGTGGGGATTGGCGGGCTCTAACGATTGCAGATGCAACCGGGACCAACGGCTTAACGTGCCTTCCGAAGCACGGAGGAACTCGAGATAGAAATTTTTGGTCACCCATCCAATGACCGACCACTGCGAAAGTTGCTTAACTACAACGATCGCAGCCGAACGCACTAACCACCTGCGCCATCGAGCTCCTCAACAATGTTTTAGTATGCGAAATTTAATAAGTAGAGAAATTGATGATTTACCCGACAACCCTCAAATCACGCACATGCGGTAAGCGGGCGGCCATTTGCATGCTTCACTCACGATTAGACGAGATTACGTCTAGGCCCGTCTTTCTCAGTGGGCACTTTGGGCAAGTGCCCAGGGCCACGCGATCGATAGGGCCTTAATATGCCCAGGGCCTCCAATAAAGGCCTACGCAGACCGGGACGGCATGGCAAGGGATTAAAATTTTTACTAGTGGATATTCAACCGTACTGTTACAGAACTACAATATAAATTGCTATGCTTTAAAATGATGCCGTGGCATTGAAAGGGATTTTATCGCACGGCATTAAAAGACGTGCAACAGGCTCCCGTGGCGGGATGCCATGGCATTCTGCGGTAGGCAACTGCGGGGTGCGGCGGCGGGGGTAGAGAAGCGGGGAATTCACCCTTTGATCCCTTTCATTCCATAGATTATCAACCCAAAATCTTCTTCTATCCCTATTATTAGCCTATGCACCTTCTTCTTCATCTGCAATAATCGATATTAACACCAAATCCCAATCTACCATTTTAAAACTGAGGCACATCAACACTCGATCAAACGCAACTGAAGACTAAGGCCGTATACAGAAAGAAAGCCGAAAGCCGATCGGCGCTTATCGGCGCTTATCGGCGCCGATCCTTCCTACATAAAGGAAGCCGATTAACGCAGATCAAGCAAAATGTCGGACTCATCGGACGATGATCTGGTTTTGTTAGAAAATGTGTATTTAAAAATGCGAAAAAAAGCTATACATCCTATAAATAGAGAAAGGAAACGTTTCGGAGAATACCATCATTTATTTGTAAAAAAATTGAAATTTGATGAACAAAGATTTTATACATATACAAGAATGATTCAAGAAACATTTTATTACATTTTGGATTTAGTGCAAAACCGTTTGATGAAAAATTGGTGCAATTGGCATAAACAACCAATCCTTCCAGAAGAAAGACTTGTTGTCACCATTCGGTAAGTACCAAACAAATAATTTTAGCGCTTAGTTAATAAAAGATTAAGTTATTAGATTTATAAAAAGATCCGAGAGGCGCCGATCAGCGCCGATCGGCGCCGGTCCATAGAAAAAGGATCAGCGCCAATTGGAGCCGATAAGCGCTGATCGGCGCCGATCGGCTTTCGGCTTTCTTTCTGTATACGGCCTAAAAGTGTATCGGGCAGCAGGAGTCGCTGAAGCGTGCTTTGTCGTGTCGCGGCACGCCGTGGCATAGTGCTGGAATGCCGCGGTATCTAAGCGGCCAGTGTGCGCTGACTCACGGCAAAATCCCTTGCCATGCCGTCCCGGTCTGCGTAAGCCTTAAGTCAAAGACGGCACTCGTTACGTCCGTCTCTTTTTCAGGTCCGTGCCTTGGTACAAGTTATCTCACAATATATAAAACTATACTTAAAAAGACTCCGTCATCAAAATCTCTTTAAATTCAACAGAAATTGTTAAACATCTACTATTTGAAAATGTGCAACTGCCTTTAAAGAATTTGTCATCGACTGACAGATGACAGCTAATGATATTTGTTTAAATTCATATCCTCGATTGTGATTGGTTGTATCAAAAATCACGTGACTGTTTTCGTCACATTATAACTATGGACATGACAGTGACATTAAAGCGTTTTGGTATACAGGGTTTTAACCAACTCTTTCAGTTATTTTATATGTATTTTTATGTACTTGAAATATGCTACTTTGATATAGTCAAGCTTTTTGTCGATCAGGTTCCTTTTATATGATTTCCGTTACTTACTTGAATTAAGTTTAAGAGGCACATTTACCATAATTTATTATCCGTGTTATATATAAATGTTTAAACGACATTTTTATGTGGTACATGTGGATAACATATTTCGTTTTTTTTTTAAGAAATTAACCTTTTTTTCTACACATAAATGATAATAGTTGAGGTACAAGATTGGGCAGAATCGTATGGAGAAAATGATGGATCCTTTTAGGGTTATTTAGTCAAAGAGGATTTGATTCAATAGTGTTTCAGTCTCACCAAGGGTTGCCAACCCTCCTATCTATATATTATAGTATCCTACTATATAAGGGGATCCAATACAATATTTCAAAAAAAATATGTATTGCTCAAAGCAGACTTTTGCTAGTAAAAGCTTTCTTAAAAATAAAAACTTATTTATTAAGGCATATAGCAGCAAAAATATATTCATTTCAAACATAAAGTAAACATTTTAACCATATACTATATTTTTTTCCATTTTTTGCTGTCTACTATATTTTTAAAGGTAACAGCTTCGAAAATACTATGTTTAATTTTAAACTAGAAAAATCTCTTATCTATTAGACAAGTCCGTCCGTCTGTCTGTGGTGCTGTTTCAGCGGCCAAACCGTAAGAGATAGATAAAGAGAATATTTAAGTTATAAGTTAAGAATAGTTTGATAAGACTACAAACCGGATTTGAGTAACGTAGCACTTCCGGTTTTCGAGAAATCACGTGATTTCTATTTCAAACGAAACCACACAAAATCTTCGAAGTTCTCAATTAATTAAATACATTTTTTTTTAAATCAGGTTTTGGTGAACATTTCGTTCACTGGTTTCATTATATAATTTGATCCCCCCTTCCCCTTTCCATCACCGGACGACCAGGCGCGGCGAGGGCTTTCGCCCTTATGGTGTCGAAGTTCCTCCCATTCGCACGAAGCGATTTGCTTCGGCCTTCATTATGCGAACGGCTAGGGAGTGGACCTCTTTACCGAGGTCTGTTTTCCCGGACCGATATAATCTGGACATCTTCAAGGCCGGAGTGAACAGGCATCTTCTAGGCAGGCGTGTACCATCCTAGGCCTCATCATCGCTTTCTATCAGGTGAGATTGTGGTTAAACGCATTGCCTATAACGCATAAAAAAAAAAGAAAAAAAGGGAGTTTTTGGCGGGTTTTCATCGAGTGTGGTTGGCGTCTTATTTTAATTATTCTTAAATTCGTTCATAGTGGATATTGTGAAATAAAATTGTTGATTTTGTGTTACAACTGTCTGCGTAACTGAAGAATTAGTAGAATCGTCAAAATATACGCTATTCCGGTCAAGTGGACGTGAGAATTTTATTGTAGTATTGACTACCTCACAGAAGCTTATCAAAAAAGCCAGCTCGATACATTTCGTGCCAAACACTTCAAGAAACATTAGAATGCGTCACACCGACATTCTAATGTAAAAAGAAAAACGGAAAAAATTAACTTAAGACTAGGCTGTATGGGCATTGTTCCCCTTGCCTTCCCTGAAAAGGGAGAACTTAACCAAAAAAAAAAATGTGTGTGTGTACTAGTGTACACACGTAAGAAGTGAAACTTCTTTATGGCCTTATTTTTTTCGAAAAATGATCTACATGCAACTTTCCAGAAATATATATATAGGCGTGCGCTAAGATTTTTCAAAAACTCACCCAATAAAGGGGGTACTACCTTACCTTACTTTACCTTACCTTATCTTACCTTACCTTACCTTACCTTACCTTACCTTGTGTGAAACACGAATATTTGCTGTCGATACTTTTTTTTTTAAAGTTGACAGAAGAAGCAATCGTTCGGACAAGGTAAACAGTGCTCTTTTAAAAAAAAGATGGCGCGTAACCAAAAAACGTGACGCGTAACCGAAAAATGTGACGGTAAATTTTTTTCCAACGCCGATAAAGAAGTTTCACTTCAAAAAAAGTTGGTAATCCTAGTCTCACCTGAGCACGCCGTTGTGTTGCGGTGCGGCGCCGGTGCCGGCGGGGAGGGCGGGGCCTGTTGGGGCGGGGCCCGCGGGTGGGGCGGGGCCCGCGGGTGGGGCGGGGCCGGGCGGGGCGGGGGGCGGGGCGTCGAACACGTCGTGGTAGTGGTCCAGCAGGGTCTCCACGATCACGTTGTAGAACTTGAGCTCCAGGATGGACGCCACCGTCTCCCGCTCGGCCCTCAGCAGCGTGGGGCCGAAGCACACCGCCAGGTTCGAAGACGACATCAGGTTCTTGTCGCTCTTTGCGCAAACCCTGTTGACGTCAATCGTTCGTTATAGACGCGCTCCGCGACTGTTGCCTAAGCTGTGGTTCTTAAACGGTACTCCGTAGACCACTCGCGGTCCTTCTAAGCATTTGGAATGGTCGTTTGAGCCGTTTGTCTAGAATTATAGTACCACAAATCAAAGGTTAGATGGCATTGTAGTTGTCCGAATCGCGCTATGGATTTGAGCACCGAGAGTATCTATAGTATCGAGGAATGTTTACATGAATGATCGATAGATGGGGACATTTTTCCAATCCGATCGCGGTAGCGTTTAATGCATATTGAAACTATATAGCGACTTTAATAAGTTCAATAAAAGGAGAATTTTTAGAAGCAGTTACATTGAGTTTTATTTATACACATCGAACGAGTGAACACCATTCCAGAAAGTTTACAGCTCTAAGCTATGCTGTGCTTTGCTATGTTTCCATATAATTGTAGTGTAAGCGTTCCTTTAAAATAATAATTATTAAGCATTCGTATTAGGATTATTTATTAATCATCATAATAATATATAATACAGACGTTTCCTATTGATGATAGAATCTATCAATTAATCAATCCACCAGGTGGATTCATAGATGCTAATGACTGCAGGTGTCAGCGCAATAGGGTATTTGACAAGTTTTAGAAAACGATCTCACGTTATTGGCTAATGTTTATGGAGTCCATAAAAAGTGGGTATTCATCATTCTGTTGTGGATTTCAGTCAAAATAACCAAATCAAAAACTCCATTTTCAAGTTGCCGCGGAAACGTTTCTGTGGACAATATGGCGTCTTATTAGTGTGTGACGTCACACGACTGTTATTAAAACGTCAAACGATACAATGTCATGTCACCTTAAACCGGAAGTTTGCTTGCGTGTGACGTCATTTTAGGCTCCGCCAATCCCAAGCGTTTTGGGTCACGTGACAATAGATAAGAAAACTATTATCTTTAGTTTTTAGTAAAATCACGAATATTTTTCTTTGTAAAAATAGGAAAAACCCCTGCCAATATTTATTCTAAACACCGATGCTAACAATTGGCACTTTATTTTTAACACTGTCAATTACCCTGTTTACTACTTAATGTACCTTTTGAAACATAATATACATAATACACACACACACACACACACACACACACACACACACATACCGGCGCAGGTGCCGCATCACGAGGCGCAGCATGCGGCGGTTGTCGGGCGGCAGGGCGCCCACCAGCGCCCGCACGCCCCCCACGCGCTCCGCACGACGCTCGCATGCTATACACACACACACACACACACACACACACACACACATACCGGCGCAGGTGCCGCATCACGAGGCGCAGCATGCGGCGGTTGTCGGGCGGCAGGGCGCCCACCAGCGCCCGCACGCCCCCCACGCGCTCCGCACGACGCTCGCATGCTATACACACACACACACACACACACACACACACACACACATACCGGCGCAGGTGCCGCATCACGAGGCGCAGCATGCGGCGGTTGTCGGGCGGCAGGGCGCCCACCAGCGCCCGCACGCCCCCCACGCGCTCCGCACGACGCTCGCATGCTATACACACACACACACACACACACACACACACACACACATACCGGCGCAGGTGCCGCATCACGAGGCGCAGCATGCGGCGGTTGTCGGGCGGCAGGGCGCCCACCAGCGCCCGCACGCCCCCCACGCGCTCCGCACGACGCTCGCATGCTATACACACACACACACACACACACACACACACACACACATACCGGCGCAGGTGCCGCATCACGAGGCGCAGCATGCGGCGGTTGTCGGGCGGCAGGGCGCCCACCAGCGCCCGCACGCCCCCCACGCGCTCCGCACGACGCTCGCATGCTATACACACACACACACACACACACACACACACACACACATACCGGCGCAGGTGCCGCATCACGAGGCGCAGCATGCGGCGGTTGTCGGGCGGCAGGGCGCCCACCAGCGCCCGCACGCCCCCCACGCGCTCCGCACGACGCTCGCATGCTATACACACACACACACACACACACACACACACACACATACCGGCGCAGGTGCCGCATCACGAGGCGCAGCATGCGGCGGTTGTCGGGCGGCAGGGCGCCCACCAGCGCCCGCACGCCCCCCACGCGCTCCGCACGACGCTCGCATGCTATACACACACACACACACACACACACACACACACACACATACCGGCGCAGGTGCCGCATCACGAGGCGCAGCATGCGGCGGTTGTCGGGCGGCAGGGCGCCCACCAGCGCCCGCACGCCCCCCACGCGCTCCGCACGACGCTCGCATGCTATACACACACACACACACACACACACACACACACACACACACACACACACACACATACCGGCGCAGGTGCCGCATCACGAGGCGCAGCATGCGGCGGTTGTCGGGCGGCAGGGCGCCCACCAGCGCCCGCACGCCCCCCACGCGCTCCGCACGACGCTCGCATGCTATACACACACACACACACACACACACACACACACACACACACACACACACACACATACCGGCGCAGGTGCCGCATCACGAGGCGCAGCATGCGGCGGTTGTCGGGCGGCAGGGCGCCCACCAGCGCCCGCACGCCCCCCACGCGCTCCGCACGACGCTCGCATGCTATACACACACACACACACACACACACACACACACACACACACACACACACACACATACCGGCGCAGGTGCCGCATCACGAGGCGCAGCATGCGGCGGTTGTCGGGCGGCAGGGCGCCCACCAGCGCCCGCACGCCCCCCACGCGCTCCGCACGACGCTCGCATGCTATACACACACACACACACACACACACACACACACACACATACCGGCGCAGGTGCCGCATCACGAGGCGCAGCATGCGGCGGTTGTCGGGCGGCAGGGCGCCCACCAGCGCCCGCACGCCCCCCACGCGCTCCGCACGACGCTCGCATGCTATACACACACACACACACACACACACACACACACACACATACCGGCGCAGGTGCCGCATCACGAGGCGCAGCATGCGGCGGTTGTCGGGCGGCAGGGCGCCCACCAGCGCCCGCACGCCCCCCACGCGCTCCGCACGACGCTCGCATGCTATACACACACACACACACACACACACACACACACACACACACACACACACACATACCGGCGCAGGTGCCGCATCACGAGGCGCAGCATGCGGCGGTTGTCGGGCGGCAGGGCGCCCACCAGCGCCCGCACGCCCCCCACGCGCTCCGCACGACGCTCGCATGCTATACACACACACACACACACACACACACACACACACATACCGGCGCAGGTGCCGCATCACGAGGCGCAGCATGCGGCGGTTGTCGGGCGGCAGGGCGCCCACCAGCGCCCGCACGCCCCCCACGCGCTCCGCACGACGCTCGCATGCTATACACACACACACACACACACACACACACACACACACACACACACACACACACATACCGGCGCAGGTGCCGCATCACGAGGCGCAGCATGCGGCGGTTGTCGGGCGGCAGGGCGCCCACCAGCGCCCGCACGCCCCCCACGCGCTCCGCACGACGCTCGCATGCTATACACACACACACACACACACACACACACACACACACACACACACACACACACATACCGGCGCAGGTGCCGCATCACGAGGCGCAGCATGCGGCGGTTGTCGGGCGGCAGGGCGCCCACCAGCGCCCGCACGCCCCCCACGCGCTCCGCACGACGCTCGCATGCTATACACACACACACACACACACACACACACACACACATACCGGCGCAGGTGCCGCATCACGAGGCGCAGCATGCGGCGGTTGTCGGGCGGCAGGGCGCCCACCAGCGCCCGCACGCCCCCCACGCGCTCCGCACGACGCTCGCATGCTATACACACACACACACACACACACACACACACACACACATACCGGCGCAGGTGCCGCATCACGAGGCGCAGCATGCGGCGGTTGTCGGGCGGCAGGGCGCCCACCAGCGCCCGCACGCCCCCCACGCGCTCCGCACGACGCTCGCATGCTATACACACACACACACACACACACACACACACACACATACCGGCGCAGGTGCCGCATCACGAGGCGCAGCATGCGGCGGTTGTCGGGCGGCAGGGCGCCCACCAGCGCCCGCACGCCCCCCACGCGCTCCGCACGACGCTCGCATGCTATACACACACACACACACACACACACACACACACACACATACCGGCGCAGGTGCCGCATCACGAGGCGCAGCATGCGGCGGTTGTCGGGCGGCAGGGCGCCCACCAGCGCCCGCACGCCCCCCACGCGCTCCGCACGACGCTCGCATGCTATACACACACACACACACACACACACACACACACACACATACCGGCGCAGGTGCCGCATCACGAGGCGCAGCATGCGGCGGTTGTCGGGCGGCAGGGCGCCCACCAGCGCCCGCACGCCCCCCACGCGCTCCGCACGACGCTCGCATGCTATACACACACACACACACACACACACACACACACACACATACCGGCGCAGGTGCCGCATCACGAGGCGCAGCATGCGGCGGTTGTCGGGCGGCAGGGCGCCCACCAGCGCCCGCACGCCCCCCACGCGCTCCGCACGACGCTCGCATGCTATACACACACACACACACACACACACACACACACACATACCGGCGCAGGTGCCGCATCACGAGGCGCAGCATGCGGCGGTTGTCGGGCGGCAGGGCGCCCACCAGCGCCCGCACGCCCCCCACGCGCTCCGCACGACGCTCGCACTCTACGGAAACAACGACAACGCGTCAACGCTTTGACAACTAGCAAAGTTACGACTTCGTTTTCTGTTAAGCTATCCGAAGAACGAATCGAATGAAGAATACTCATGGGCTTCCCTACGCGAAGGGCCGACGCGATCGCAGGTCCTCTATGATGGACCGATGCCAGCCGGCCTGTTCGCAATTTTTGGAGTTTACTCCTTAAAAATCGATTTGCATATATGAGGGGCCCGATATGAGAAAAATGTGAGGAGTGAAATCTATCGATGAATGACCTCGTTACGTTTTTGGTGCGCATCCTATGTCGCGCAACTTTGACAAACAAATATGACGGATTGACATTAATAAAATTTTTAAAGTCTGAACTGAATTTAGATATTGTTTCTGATAGAGCAATGGGGACAACGAGGTATGGTACAACCGTTGATGCGGTATTTTTAAGATTCGCGAACCACGTATCTACGAACGTCCATGTGTCTTATTTTAGCTACCATAAACCACTTGTCACTCTAATTAATAATGCATGCACTGATAAAGCATGATAAGAACAGCTTGTTGTCAAGTTTACAAATAGCAAATACAAATAGCCAAATGAAGTGTCGGCGTAACTATTACAGGGCCAACACATTTTTTTTTTGAGCGCATTAAGAATGGTACATGCTGTATAGCAGTGTTGGGCGTAATTAATTACTTTTGTAATTTAATTACTTATTCAGTGAATAGTAATTGAATTACTTTAATTGAAATTACATGTATTTGAAATTACTGTAATTCTATTACTTACGTCCGAAGTAATTTAAATTACATTAGTTTGTAATTCAAATTACTCAATTACTTTTTAAGGGTAACAGAATAAACTACTAAAATTGAGCGGTTATTAGCTTGATGCCCGTACGCAGCACAGCAAGCACAACACAAACAAAGGTTTAGTGCATAATTTGCCATGAATTTATGAGTGTGTAAATGTGTGCCTCGTTACCAGTACCTACACAGCTACCTATCCCTTTTCTAGCCTCCCGGCGGCGTGCACCTTTATTTCGATGGATTGTTCTCATATGCTACAATGATTAACTTACCAAAATCTTACAAAGTTTCCGATCAAATGTTTGAACGAAGAGTAGTATTAATGTCTAATTTAAAATAATTCTAACATTTATTGTCTTAATCTTAAAAAAGGTGGTTGTAAATTACACAATTTATCTGATCTATTTCGTAAATAAACATTTGATAAATCATAAAATAATAGCTTTATTTAAAATACTACCTCGTCTTTAAAAGAGATTATATATAAGTAATTTAGTAATTGCAATTAACAATTACAAATGCTAATTTTAATTGTTAATTGAATTACATTTCAATAATTTCTAGTAATTTGTAATTAAAGTCACCAATTACAATTTGTAATTGAAATTGTTAATTTGAAGATAATTACATTTTGCCCAACACTGTTGTAAAGACATATTGCCGCAGCAGCTAATGCTTCCACGTCTATCTCGAAAAACTAACATTATAACTGAATGTCGCCATCGTGTGGTTGCGTTTCAACCATCGTATGGTCATGTCGCCGGCCCAGCGTTGACCCATCGCGTAAAGGAGGCATAACATATTGTAAATAACGTATCAATTACGACATGAAAGCGATGTACGAGAGCGTAGCCAAGATAATAAGACACAGCGGATTCTTTAACATTTTGTTATTCACACTCTCTGAACTATTGTCAAACTGGCCAAGAAATATAATTTTATTTTATTTCTTCGGAAAACTTACAGCTATTACTTATACATTGTATCTAATTTAGTTGACTACTAGCCAATAACAAGTTTTTACATATAAAAAAGAAAAAATATATAGCTTATCAATTTCTGAAAGAAACTCATAAACAACATCTATATGGGTTAGAACTGAAAATCAGCGATTCACTCTCGGAGTAAATGTTACGCTGAGTTTTCGCCCATTCGCATCGCTGCTGCACACGAAAATATCAGTATAGTTATATAAATATAATTTGTTGTATGTTTTAAAGGATTTATTTAATTGTAAAATTTGTCTTAAATTTTGTATGTGTGCATGTTGGTGTGAATAAAGTTTTATCTATCTATCTATCTATAAACCAAATTATGGTATCACTTACTTATCAATTTTATTAAAGCGTCTTCAGCGCGGACGTCACAAGGTCGGGTTCCAGCCCCCAGTGATATATAGCACGTTTTTATCACGCTGAATTGTTAAATTACTATGGAGTTTAACAGTCGGACGCGAAAATAAATATTGTGTGTGTCAGCTCCGACGCACGACTAGAGTTTATTCCTTAAATTCGATAGTCTAAACAGAGTTTGTTTAACTTAAAAAAGGTTGATACTGTAAATGCCATATCTACGTTTTCTTTGTCGTTGTAGGCAATAAAGGTACGCTACGATACTGTGCTACGGTGTAGCACTACGGCTGCTACAGCGTAGACAGTAAGAACGTAACGAGCTCATTCATCGATAGATTTCACTCCTCACATTTTTCTCATACCGGGCCCCTTATATATGCAAATCGATTCTTAAGAGCCCTTTTACAAAATTACGCCACTGCCGTACTGATCGGCGCGTAGGTAGATTTGCACTAGTAATATTGCATTTTATGGGTGATGTTTCGAGTCTTATAAAATAATTGTTAATGAACTAACTATAAAAGTATATAAATATTTCAGTAGTTCAATAATGGTAAATTAGTTTAGTGAACGTTTTTGATAGTAATTCTATTTAATTCAATATCAAAATACGAGGTAAACCTGCACTGTTTTTTGGGAAAACTCACGGAGGTTAGATGTTTTTTTTTGATAATTAATGAGATGGAAAATCAAAATTCTAATACATTATGTTACAACAAAAAAATATTGCTGATATCATAGAAATTAATTTGATCTTATTTATTTATCATTATTTAGAGATTCAGGCGTTTGAAGTTGTGCATATTATCGTATTTTTCGTAAACTAGCTGCGGTACAACGATCAGTACAAAAAAATGAAAATAGTCATTGCAAATATTCTACATTAACTTACATTGGGAAGAATAAATCTACCGTTTACTTCTATTGGTAATAGTCAAAATCTTTTTTAAGGGGGTAAACGAGGCGCTCAAAAATCACGATATATTGCAAAAAAAAAATGCGTGCGTGTACTTATGTAGGCGCGTGAGAAGTTATCCTTCTTTGGCATCGTTTAAAATTAGTTTTTAATTGCATGCAAATAATTAATTACAATAAATTAATAAAAAGTCTGGAAAAGGACACAGTCAATAAAGTTCAGTTTTAATTTGAAAAAATAAATAAATAATCAAAATATTCAATTAAAATCGCTACTGAATATAATTTATTAGAACATATGTGATTTGCACTTGTATGAAACTCAAACACGTATTCCGAATATACAAACTAGAAACATGTGGATAAATAATATGAATATGAATACCTATAACTGTTACTTTATTACAAAAAATAAAGATGTGGTTTTTGGTTCTACTACACCAATGGTCAAGAGATGGCGCTGTAGTCTCCCGAATCGCGCTTTGGTTCCGTTGTTCCAGATTAATAAACACTTTTGATAGGCCTTCACAATGCAGTCGTTAGCACCCACTAAATAGAGATTCTATTTCTATTTTGTTGGTAGATTTTCTTAATGTGCGGTAAACACAAAAGTAACAGTTAAAATTTTGTGTTACAGTGATGCGCGCGCATCTTAAAATTTCACTCATCATTTTTTCATAACGCGCCTAAAGAAGTATAACTTCAAAAATGTGAAAGGGCTCTTAAGGATTAAACTCCAAAAATGTCGCACGCGGTACAGTATACTCACTGGCCACGGCGATGAACTGGCTGTGTAACCTCCTGGTGAGCAGCGGCTCGGGCAGGGCGCGCAGGTAGGCCTTGAGCGCGGACGTCAGCGTGTTGGTCTCCAGGTGTTGCAGCGGGGCGGGGCCGGGGCAGGGGGAGGGGGAGGGGGAGGCGGAGGCCTGCAGCAGGCGGGCCACGCGCGAGGCCACGCCCGCCACGCGGTAGAGCCCCTGCTCCTCCAGCCCTCGCGCCTCCAGCTCCTCCGTCACGCGCCGCGCGAACTCGAACCCCGTCTCGTCCAGCGCGCTGCACTCCGTCCCGCCGCCTTCTGCGAGACCATATAGTAAAAAAAAAAAAAAATGGTTGCCTGTAAAGTCGGTTTTACGGGCGAAGATTTTACGTGACAACGTCTTTTTCTCGGTAGAATATTTATTGATATGAATATAATTAAATTGCACAATAGGAACAAGGAATTGAATGAAAATAAGAATTGCACAAATTTTAACTATAGAAATATATTTTGTTTACTAAAACATTGTACATGTAAACTTAAACTTAACACGAGAGACTCATCGTAACGTTACCGAGCGTTACACTTTTTCATAAGTGACTCCCAGCCGCAACCTAATTTAAGACGTTGTCACGTCAAAATAAATAAATAATAAAATAAAAATAGTTTATTTCGTTAACCTTATTTCACAATAATATTCTGTGGCCAGAACTACCCAGGAAGCATTTAGTGATGCTTGTGTTGGGCGGTTCCGCTCCTCCCTAGGATCTCATACATATGAGGTATTAAGGTAACTAAATAACTACTCCACTTAACTTTAAATAATTCCAAATAACTTTTTCTTTTAAAGGATAAAATTTAACTAAATTTAACTAAATACTGGTATGTGTGTTTGTGTGTGTGTATGTGTGTGTGTGTGTGTGTGTGTGTGTGTGTATGTGCACGTGTGTGTAGAACCTATATGATAGGACATTCTATCTCTCCTCTAGCCCTACGATATATTATCTTGGGATCGGTAAATACCACTAGAATTAATTTTACTGAATAGAAATCCTATTTATATAACAAGTCCTCTATGTCATTGTACCCAAGCGTCTCGAGTTCTTGGATTATTGTTTTTTTAACGTTTAGTTATAACACGACATCATCATCGGCCTCTTTTATATCCCTAAAATTACTAAGTAAGGTGAAATTTAAAATACCTCGACCGAACACCGGAATGGTAAATTTTAAACCCTTTTCATTGAAATTTTTTAGAACTAAGTTAGGCGCACATAGTGTGCTCGATAGACTGTGTGACGAACATGATAGGTTTTGTAGATCGATTGACTTGTATGCTCTTTCTTTGTTACGTTTTCGAAAATTACTGTATCCGATAAGAACTCCAACTACAAGCGAAATTCAAATTTAATTTAATATATATTCCATTTAACCTAGTGTTTTAATGCATTTTTGTTTTTAGTTTAAGTTTCTTGAATATGCATTTTGTTCCATGTTGAGTTTGTCAGTAATTGTTTTTGCACTATGCTGAAAATTGTTACATATAAGTGTGATTATGTAAGTTATGGAGTAAAAATGTTGGCAGACCTTTAATAAATAAATAAATAAAAATCCCCACTGCTGGGGCACAGGCTTTCCCTATGGATGGAATAGGGAGATTGGGCCATGACTCATCACGCGGGCCCAGTGCAGATTAGCGGGTGCTAACGATTGCAGATGCAACCGGGACCGACGGCTTAACGTGCCTTCCGAAGCACGGAGGAACTCGAGATAGAAATTTTTGGTCACCCATCCAATGACCGACCACTGCGAAAGTTGCTTAACTACAACGATCGCAGCCGAACGCGCTTACCACCTGCGCCATCGAGCTCCTCAATTATAACACAACATCCTTCATATCGCAAAATGTAACAACTCGCCATACATATAAAGCATTGATTCGCCCAGCCCCGGTCCCGAACTAAATCTACTATATAAAAATAAGTCGGGTTTTCCTTCCTGACGCTATAACTCCAGAACGCACGAACGGATTTCCACGGTTTTGCATTCGTTGGAAAGATCTCGGGCTCCGTGAGGTTTATAGCAAAGAAAATTCAGGAAAAATTTCAAAAAAAAAAAATTTTTAATCACCAAACGAAATATTACATAAAACGAAGCCATCTGATGGCGAAACGGAGTTCGCCTGGTTTGCTAGTCTTCTATATATATAAAACTCAAAGGTGACTGACTGACATAGTGATCTATCAACGCACAGCCCAAACCACTGGACGTATCGGGCTGAAATTTGGCATGCAGGTAGACGTTATGACGTAGGCATCAGCTAAGAAAGGATTTTGATCAATTCTACCCCCAAGGGGATAAAATAGGGACTGAAAGTTTGTATGAAACTTTGTCAATTTTAAATCGATCGAGCTGAGACTTGGCATGCAGGTATAAGAAGAATCATAGATGAATGTCATTGTGTATAATACAAGCGGACTACGAAGCAGACGGGACTCGACCCCGCACCCTTCGCTATCCGGGCGAATGCACTCACCAAGTCGAATTCTTCGGAGCCTCTCTTAAGCTGCAAAGCAACACCATCTTTTCGCATTATAGGTAACCTACAAAGTCACTTGGAGGCTTAAGATAGCGAGGGCTGCGGGTTCAAGTCCCGTCTGCTTTGTAGTCCGCGAGGATATCTTTTCTAGTAAAATTTTCTTTAGATTTAAATATCGAGCAGTCAAATGTTTATGATTATGAGTGTTAGTGCCTGAGCTTAGTGGATGTTAAAAAAATGGGTGCGTGTACTTATGTAGGCGCGTGAAGTTATCCTTCTTTGGCATCGTTTAAAATTAGTTTTTAATTGCATGCAAATAATTAATTACAATAAATTAATAAAAAGTCTGGAAAGGGACACAGTCAATAAAGTTCAGTTTTAATTTGAAAAAATAAATAAATAATCAAAATATTCAATTAAAATCACTACTGAATATAATTTATTAGAACATATGTGATTTGCACTTGTATGAAACTCAAACACCTATTCCGAATATACAAACTAGAAACATGTGGATAAATATTATAAATATGAATACCTATAACTGTTACTTTATTACAAAAAATAAAGATGTGGTTTTTGGTTCTACTACACCAATGGTCAAGAGATGGCGCTGAAGTCTCCTGAATCGCGCTTTGGTTCCGTTGTTCCAGATTAATAAATACTTTTGATAGGCCTTCACAATGCAGTCGTTAGCACCCACTAAATAGAGATTCTATTTCTATTTTGTTGGTAGATTTTCTTAATGTGCGGTAAACACAAAAGTAACAGCATGAAGTTGGTGTTAATTTTTTGTGTTACAGTGATGCGCGCGCATCTTAAAATTTCACTCTCATCATTTTTTTCATAACGCGCCTAAAGAAGTATAACTTCAATAATAAAGTTGTTACCGAAAATAATTACGTGTTTATTCCTTGTTCACAAAAATGTTCTTAAAATACTATAACAATGTATGTTGTTAATGAGTGCGTTCGCCTATGCATCGAAATCTACATTAATTTATATTTGCAACGCGGCAAATGACCTAAATTAGGCCAGGCGCCGTGACGGTGTTAATTATTGTAAATAAGCAAAATATAAATGTTCGGTTATGCATCAAACATATTCCCGGGGCGGGAAAAGATAAAGGGTTAGTTATGCTGATGAAACTAATTGATAAAACAAATAAAATATGTGGTGTCGTGGGACACCAGGTAGGAACGAAGTTGAGTATATACTATGCATTGGCGAGTGGAGTGGTAATAGAAAGAGAAGGGATGAGAGAACGAAAAGAAAGAGGGAGAAAGAGAAAGGTATTATACACTACTCGCTTGTGTATGCGACTGTCGCGCCTGCGCACGTCTCATTTAACGGTTTTATTCCACGCACTTTTTTCCACGGATTTTTTCTTACGGTTTTACTATCACATTTTTTTCAGTTCGGTCGCGCAGCAAAATCCCTATCCCCTCTCATTTAACGGTTTTATTCCACGCACTTTTTTCCACGGATTTTTTCTTACGGTTTTACTATCACATTTTTTTCAGTTCGGTCGCGCAGCAAAATCCCTATCCCCTCCAAGCCTGCCGTAAGGAACTTCGTTCCAAAATATTTTCTTATATCTAACTAGCTGACTCGGCGAACTTCGTACCGCCCAAAAGTAATAATTTGCAATAAATTAAAATTGCGACTATAATTTGAGATTTAAACTATCCTATCTCTCAAGTTGGATCGAACTGCACATGGTGTGCGAATTTTATTATAATCGGTTCAGTGGTTTAGGAGTCCATTGAGGACAAACATTGTGACACGAGATTTATATATATTAAGAAGATGTTACCTGTGTGGCGATGCAGCACCAGCGCGGGATGCAGCAGGGCTTCGAGCGCCCGCACCCAGGCGCCGCGGTCCCGCTCCGACAGGGACTGCAGCGTCAGCGCCGCGCGCTCGCGATCCTACAACAATGCGGAATGCCGCAAGGTTCAATTATGGCTCCACAACTTTTCCTTATATATTATTACTATGAATTCCAAAACATTGCAAAACGAATAAGTTTACAGAACTAAAAATGAATGAATCATCTTTACAATGGTGTAGGTTTTCGGATAGCTTTATTAAAAACTAAAGGTAGCCCGCGACTTCGTCTGCGTTAACTTAGTTTCCTGATCCCTCTGGAACCTAACATTTTTCGGGATAAAAGTAGCCTATGTGTTAATCTAGGGTGTCAGCTAAGTCCATACCAAATTTTATTAAAATCGCTCCAGCCGTTTAGACGTGAAGAAGTAACAAACATACACACTCACAAACTTTCGCCTTTATAATATTAGTGCTAAGTGCTATTTAATCAGTCAGTTGAAAGGAGAAATTAAATGACGCGAGTGATTAGCGCTCGCCTTGCGATCCTGATAGCTTTAAAATGGTCAATATCTTTCGCTCTTCCGTGCTACGGTAGAGCTACGTTAAGCAGATGGTCCCAGTTGCATCTGCAGTCGTTAGTACCCATCAATCAACGTCAAGACAGCGTGGTCCCATCTCCCTATTCCTTTGAAAGTGAGGTCTGTGGCGACATTAATCCCCTTTTAAATAAACGAAGAACAAGCTTGGACTAATTAATTCTTATTTTGTCTCTGTTCATTGAATTATGGCATTTGAGTAACATGAACAAAACCTCCAGCCTCATGCCGCCCCCCGACACCAGCGCCCTCAGCCTGCCCCCCCCCCCTCGCGGTATCTCACCTGCGGCACCGCCTCCCAGCAGAAGCGTCGCTCGGGCGGGTCGGCACACGCCCTGGCCCCGCACACCAGCACCGCCTCGGTGGCGCCCCCCCCCGCCCCCCCCCCGCATCTCACCTGCGGCACCGCCTCCCAGCAGAAGCGTCGCTCGGGCGGGTCGGCACACGCCCTGGCCCCGCACACCAGCACCGCCTCGGTGGCGCCCCCCCCCCCCCCCCCCCCCGCATCTCACCTGCGGCACCGCCTCCCAGCAGAAGCGTCGCTCGGGCGGGTCGGCACACGCCCTGGCCCCGCACACCAGCATCTCACCTGCGGCACCGCCTCCCAGCAGAAGCGTCGCTCGGGCGGGTCGGCACACGCCCTGGCCCCGCACACCAGCACCGCCTCGGTGGCGCCCCCCCCCGCCCCCCCCCCCGCATCTCACCTGCGGCAACCGCCTCCCAGCAGAAGCGTCGCTCGGGCGGGTCGGCACACGCCCTGGCCCCGCACACCAGCACCGCCTCGGTGGCGCCCCCCCCCCCGCCCCCCCCCCCGCATCTCACCTGCGGCACCGCCTCCCAGCAGAAGCGTCGCTCGGGCGGGTCGGCACACGCCCTGGCCCCGCACACCAGCACCGCCTCGGTGGCGCCCCCCCCAGCGCCCCCCCCCCCCCCCCACGCATCTCACCTGCGGCACCGCCTCCCAGCAGAAGCGTCGCTCGGGCGGGTCGGCACACGCCCTGGCCCCGCACACCAGCACCGCCTCGGTGGCGCCCCCCCCCCCCGGCCCCCCCCCCCGCATCTCACCTGCGGCACCGCCTCCCAGCAGAAGCGTCGCTCGGGCGGGTCGGCACACGCCCTGGCCCCGCACACCAGCACCGCCTCGGTGGCGCCCCCCCCCCCCCCCCCCCCCCCCCCCGCATCTCACCTGCGGCACCGCCTCCCAGCAGAAGCGTCGCTCGGGCGGGTCGGCACACGCCCTGGCCCCGCACACCAGCACCGCCTCGGTGGCGCCCCCCCCCCCGGCCCCCCCCCCCGCATCTCACCTGCGGCACCGCCTCCCAGCAGAAGCGTCGCTCGGGCGGGTCGGCACACGCCCTGGCCCCGCACACCAGCACCGCCTCGGTGGCGCCCCCCCCCCCCGCCCCCCCCCCCCCCGCATCTCACCTGCGGCACCGCCTCCCAGCAGAAGCGTCGCTCGGGCGGGTCGGCACACGCCCTGGCCCCGCACACCAGCACCGCCTCGGTGGCGCCCCCCCCCCGGCCCCCCCCCCCCGCATCTCACCTGCGGCAACCGCCTCCCAGCAGAAGCGTCGCTCGGGCGGGTCGGCACACGCCCTGGCCCCGCACACCAGCACCGCCTCGGTGGCGCCCCCCCCCCCCGCCCCCCCCCCCCCCCCGCATCTCACCTGCGGCACCGCCTCCCAGCAGAAGCGTCGCTCGGGCGGGTCGGCACACGCCCTGGCCCCGCACACCAGCACCGCCTCGGTGGCGCCCCCCCCCCGCCCCCCCCCCCGCATCTCACCTGCGGCACCGCCTCCCAGCAGAAGCGTCGCTCGGGCGGGTCGGCACACGCCCTGGCCCCGCACACCAGCACCGCCTCGGTGGCGCCCCCCCCCCGGCCCCCCCCCCCGCATCTCACCTGCGGCACCGCCTCCCAGCAGAAGCGTCGCTCGGGCGGGTCGGCACACGCCCTGGCCCCGCACACCAGCACCGCCTCGGTGGCGCCCCCCCCCCGGCCCCCCCCCCCCGCATCTCACCTGCGGCACCGCCTCCCAGCAGAAGCGTCGCTCGGGCGGGTCGGCACACGCCCTGGCCCCGCACACCAGCACCGCCTCGGTGGCGCCCCCCCCCCCGGCCCCCCCCCCCCGCATCTCACCTGCGGCACCGCCTCCCAGCAGAAGCGTCGCTCGGGCGGGTCGGCACACGCCCTGGCCCCGCACACCAGCACCGCCTCGGTGGCGCCCCCCCCCCGGCCCCCCCCCCCCCCCGCATCTCACCTGCGGCACCGCCTCCCAGCAGAAGCGTCGCTCGGGCGGGTCGGCACACGCCCTGGCCCCGCACACCAGCACCGCCTCGGTGGCGCCCCCCCCCCCCCGCCCCCCCCCCCCCCCGCATCTCACCTGCGGCACCGCCTCCCAGCAGAAGCGTCGCTCGGGCGGGTCGGCACACGCCCTGGCCCCGCACACCAGCACCGCCTCGGTGGCGCCCCCCCCCCCGCCCCCCCCCCCCCCCCCCGCATCTCACCTGCGGCACCGCCTCCCAGCAGAAGCGTCGCTCGGGCGGGTCGGCACACGCCCTGGCCCCGCACACCAGCACCGCCTCGGTGGCGCCCCCCCCCGGCCCCCCCCCCGCATCTCACCTGCGGCACCGCCTCCCAGCAGAAGCGTCGCTCGGGCGGGTCGGCACACGCCCTGGCCCCGCACACCAGCACCGCCTCGGTGGCGCCCCCCCCAGCGCCCCCCCCCCCCCCCCCCCACGCATCTCACCTGCGGCACCGCCTCCCAGCAGAAGCGTCGCTCGGGCGGGTCGGCACACGCCCTGGCCCCGCACACCAGCACCGCCTCGGTGGCGCCCCCCCCCGGCCCCCCCCCCGCATCTCACCTGCGGCACCGCCTCCCAGCAGAAGCGTCGCTCGGGCGGGTCGGCACACGCCCTGGCCCCGCACACCAGCACCGCCTCGGTGGCGCCCCCCCCCGGCCCCCCCCCCGCATCTCACCTGCGGCACCGCCTCCCAGCAGAAGCGTCGCTCGGGCGGGTCGGCACACGCCCTGGCCCCGCACACCAGCACCGCCTCGGTGGCGCCCCCCCCCCGCCCCCCCCCCCGCATCTCACCTGCGGCACCGCCTCCCAGCAGAAGCGTCGCTCGGGCGGGTCGGCACACGCCCTGGCCCCGCACACCAGCACCGCCTCGGTGGCGCCCCCCCCAGCGCCCCCCCCCCCCCCCCCCCCCACGCATCTCACCTGCGGCACCGCCTCCCAGCAGAAGCGTCGCTCGGGCGGGTCGGCACACGCCCTGGCCCCGCACACCAGCACCGCCTCGGTGGCGCCCCCCCCCCGGCCCCCCCCCGCATCTCACCTGCGGCACCGCCTCCCAGCAGAAGCGTCGCTCGGGCGGGTCGGCACACGCCCTGGCCCCGCACACCAGCACCGCCTCGGTGGCGCCCCCCCCCCGGCCCCCCCCCGCATCTCACCTGCGGCACCGCCTCCCAGCAGAAGCGTCGCTCGGGCGGGTCGGCACACGCCCTGGCCCCGCACACCAGCACCGCCTCGGTGGCGCCCCCCCCCCCCCCCCCCCCCCGCATCTCACCTGCGGCACCGCCTCCCAGCAGAAGCGTCGCTCGGGCGGGTCGGCACACGCCCTGGCCCCGCACACCAGCACCGCCTCGGTGGCGCCCCCCGACACCAGCGCCCTCAGCCTGCGCGCCCCGGCCGCGGCCCCGCCGGGCGACTCCCCCCCCGCGACGCCCCCCACGGCCCCCTTCACGTTGATCTGGTTGAAGGGCGTGAGGGACAGCGTGCGGGAGGCGCGCTCGTACGTGCAGTACTGCTTCGTCCACGCCGTGCCGAACGCCTCTACGCGACGAACGAACGATATTATACTCTATCGAAAGCTCTTTTGAATCCAATTATTTTCCTACTATAACAACGATCGGGACATCTTTATTTGCCGATGAAAAGAATGGGCGAAATAAAACCATCAACGTTTAACACCAGTGGCAACGTTTACGTAAAATCATGTCGCTACCGATAGTACGACACTCACATTTTGTTCGCCGTATCATACGGTATATTCAAATAGTGCAACGTTTTAACATTTAAAAACAGATAAGTAAAAACACTGTATATATATCAATATAAAAATTAAAGAGGAAACTGACTGAATAATCGACGTAGAGCCAAAACTGCTCAAAGTAAATTAGAAGCATAAAATATAATTCCTTTGAAAGCGTAAGTGAACAATTTAAGAAGATGTTTGAAAATATTCATTCTTCTAATAGTTTAAAAAGGCGATGAAAGAAACAGGTACAAAACTTCATCAATTTGTAAAATTGTTACATGAGGTTATGGTGCAATGAATGTTATTTTGTAAGGAATTCAAATATGTGAAATAGTCAACTTACTTTTCTCCATGAGGAACAAATATCCAGCGCGCGACACGCCGCCGCTCTCGTCCGCGTCGGCGCCCTCGTCCTCTTTATACTGCGGAACGTCAATCTCATTATACATTATAATACATACTATAAACAAAGCAAAGCAAACACAAAAAAGCAACATGCAGGCCGGCAGGGTGAGGATGGCTGGTGTGGCAGGTGGAACTGCTGTATCAGCTATCTTCACTTCTTCAACTTCACCTTCACTTAACATCAGGTGGGGTGGAGTCATTTGTCGGACCTATCTATAAAAAAAAAATGTGTGTGTCAGCTCCGACGCACGTCTGGAGTTTATTCCATAAGTTCGATAGTCTAACCTGACGTAAAATGAGTTTATTTAACTTAAAAAAACATTGATACTGTATAAAAGGGTAAATTAACAAATTAATGAAAATAATATACATATATATTAATATATAATTATTCATTTTATATACATTTATTATTTTTACAATAGCCAATTTCAGATGTGCATAAATATATCATTAGGAATGTTGATAAATTATGTAATTATTATTATCAGACTATTATCATTTTTTAAAATATTAATTATATCAATATTGTCTGCATTATTAATTACAGTGACAAGTGGTTTATGGTAAGTAAAAAAAGACACATGGACGTTCGTAGATACGTGGTTCACGAATCTTGAAAATACCGCATCAATGGTTGTACCATACCTCGTTGTCCCCATTGCTCTATCAGAAACAATATCTAAATTCAGTTCAGATTTTCAAAAAATTATTAATTTCAATCCGTCATCTTTATTTGTCAATGTTGCGCGACATAGGATGCGCACCAAAAACGTAACATTCATCGATAGATTTTACTCCTCACATTTTTCTCATACCGGGCCCCTTATATATGCAAATCGATTCTTAAGGAGTAAACTCCAAAAAAACTATAATCTAAACTTATAATAATAATGGACAGTCAATTGTATTTTACGTCTCATTTTCATAAAATTACAGCCAAAGCGTATAAAATGTTGGGTATCATATTAAGGCAGGGGAAAGATTATAAAAACACTAGCTGACCCAGCGAACTTCGTACCGCCCTAAAAAAATAGGGGTTGTCCAGCGGACAAAATTGTGAATCTAAACCATTCTCAGAACCCCTTGAACACACATAAAAAATTTCATCAAAATCGGTCCAGTCGTTTAAGAGAAGTTCAGTGACATACACACTCACAGAAGAATTACATATATAAAGATAGAAACTCTATTACTTTTATATAACAGTTATGTAAGATCACAACTAGAGTACGCATCGACGGTATGGAATCCGCAATACTTAACACACATAAGCGCGATAGAAAAAGTACAGAATAAATTCATTAGAAGGATGAAATACAAATTCAATGATTTTTGTGAGGAGGACGTGCGTACCCTGGCACACCAAAGAGAGTGTAGAGACTCGGTCTTGCTTCACAAGGTTATAAATAGTCTTGTCGATTCTCCATATCTTTTAAGTAAAATTTTGCTAAAATGTCCAAGAGCAAATCTACGAGCACGCGATACGTTTTGCATTCCGGCGGGTCGGACTAATTATGCAAGTAATCGCTACATTGTGCGAGCTATGAAATCTGTTAGAACTAATATAAACCAAACAATGTAAATTGTCGTAGTTATCTAAACAACTCACTAGTTGGAGCCACTGTCTATGCGTTGATTATGTCATTCTATTCGGTGGTATAATACTCTCTCTTGTGTCAACTGAATTACTGTGCTAACTTGGTAGAAAATAAATCTCACTATATCATTATAATCTCACAACTCTAAATATAGTCACATTGATATATTTTTAACCTTAATTCTTTGAAATTCAAAAAACTAATTTGTAACTCGTTTTAGGCACATCATTTTTATATCTTTTTGTTTTGTTTATGTTCATTATGATGTCAAAAATTGATTCTTTTTTCTCTCATGTTTATTAGACACTATGTGAGATAAAAAATTGTGGAAATTACCTAGGCAATTGTTTAACTTAATATTTTTTATGTAAAAATTAATGCTGTTATTTCCCTAAAAATAAATCTAATATATAAAATTCTCGTGTCGCGGTGTTTGTGGTTAAACTCCTCCGAAACGGCTCGACCGATTTTCGTGAAATTTTATATGCATATTCAGTAGGTCTGAGAATCGGATGTAATCTATTTTTCATCAATGTTAAGGGTAATCCACCCCTAATATTTTTTTTTTTTCAATTTTAGTTTTTTTTTATGATACATCATACAAAAATAAATATAACCCAAAATTTTCGCCCTTCTACCACCAACCCCTATTTTTTTATGGCGGTACGAAGTTCGCTGGGACAGCTAGTACTTAAATATACAAATACACCCATTCGGCGATCAAAAAATCTGTCTTCGTGTAGAACTGATTCGATTTATTTCTTTAAATGATTAGTGAAATTCAAACGTGAATAAAACTAAGATATAAAGTGTCTCACCATTTGCCGCACCTCCATCATCTTCTTCATGAGCGATTCCGTCTGCTTGCTGGTCTCCTCGAAGTTACTCCGCGTCTATAAACGTACCAACACTCATTCAACGTTGCTCCGATATACAATCCAACAAGTAAACGACGACAAAAATAAAAAGATAACTTTATACTAAGCACTTATTCAATTGTACTTGTAAGTTTAGAAACTGTTTGCATGCACACTCAAGTGTACTTCACATTGTGAAGGGACCTATAACCACGCGAACAAAATAATTTCGCTCTCAGTAAGGCTTGAACTTAAGGCTATTTTATTAGCAATATTCGGCTTTTCAGGCCCACACACGCTGAGCTGTTCACATAAAAACACTGAATATTGTACCGGTGAAACGACCAGGGCTTGAAACCGGTTTCTAAAATACCGGTAAATAAAGGTTAATACCGGTTTTTAGTAAAGGTTTCGTGCGGTGCGCGTCCTAAAACCTTAATAAACCGGTTTAATCCAGAGCGACACGTGCACGCGTCGGTATCGCTTAGAGTTTGTTTTGTTTGAACAAATCAAGTCACAACTTGTTAATGCTCAGAGATTGATGCATTTATTGACACGATTGCTAGTGTCTAGTGAGTCCAGTTATTCATTTATTATCGATGCTGTCAGAAAGAGCGAAATTAAACCTTTTAAAAACCGCTAAATTGATTCAAAACCTATTTGATTTCGCTCTTTGGAAAATGCGGTTTTTTAAGGTTAAGGTAGAGCCAAACCTAAATAAAACGCCCCTAATGTACCTGACACTGATTTAGGTTTGAAAATTAACCGGTAAACAAGCCCTGGAAACGACTCCGTCAACTGTCGCTCAAGTATCAAGTTTGATCACAATTCTATTAGCATCGGCCAGCTCGCTTTCACATCGAATACTATTGTAATATTCAGTATTTTTTGCATTACATTGCACACAACACTCTTGCATGCTATGGCGTTAAAATGTAAATTATGGAAATGTAATTAACATCATGATATTGCAGATCTTTTAAGTACGAACAGGCGCTGCGAATAGGGGTGATGACGGGGTGCAGTAAACGAAATTCTATTTAGCCCGTCAGTTAGATGATCAAAAAATAATGGACACGTATATTTTCTTTGGGCAATCAACCAAAAAATGTCCAATACTTTTTGATAATCTACCTGATAAACGAAGAAAAAAAAATTAGTCATCATCCCTATTATATGCCGCACGAATAAAGCATGGACGCGTTTTTTAATAACGATGTATTCTATAATAAGTATTCGTTATTTCCCATATACATTTCGGTAAAAAAAATATACACACGCTCATTAATATTTATGAACTATGGTTAAATATGTAATTTTTATTATGTGACAATGATTAAATACAACACAAGCACTCAAAAACCAAAATTTTGTGTTGTATTTGCGAGTAACACGTTTGTCGTATAACATACAAGAGATGTATCTTCCGGCTGCAGTCTTTACACCAGGTGTAGCGACGGTGCAACATCTGGCGAAATATATTTATACTCTTTATTGCATCATATAGTTTAAAACATATAGTCAAATAAATAGTAAGCAAAGGTGGGCTTATCTCTAAAAGAGATCTCTTCCAGCCAACCTAGGTGGTGTCGGAGATTCAAAACTTAGCGGGAAACAGAAAGTGCAATAAAAATTAAATTAAAAATAATTTATTACTACTGTTATAGGAAATAGACTTAATAAATAATAGTTAATAAATAATAAATGTATATATATACTATATAATACACGCTTACAATATTTTCTGCTATCAGAGCAACTTGAATGTTCCTGTATGTTTCGGTCGGGGCATACATATTTAACAGCTTATAAATTCTCTTAAAAGCCTTTTAGACTACCCAATTTTAAGGGACCCTTGCCCTGACTAAGGGTGGTGTACTATAAGTTAGGGAGTAACGGACCAGATTTAGGGCGATCGGGGCGACCCAATCTCTCTTACTCCTTTACGCCCTGACGATCGGGTAGTAAAATAGCTGTGAGGCAGTAAGGGAGCTCAGTCGACGCTCTGAGGGCGTATATTTTTTACCGTTGAAATAGTTTATTAGCGCGAGGGCATCTAATGTAGAGAATATAATTTTACTGGAGATCTATAATTTTGGTTGTAAAAAATAATCAAAAACTATTTAAATAACAGTAAGCACATACTTAAATAAACAGTAAAAAAAATATTTATCCTCAAAAAAAATAAAATTTGTAACCTAATCTAACATATAGGTAACTGTATTTATTTATGTGAAGATTTTAATTTTTTTTAAAGATCATTTACATATTTCCCTTTAAATAAAGAAAAAAGTGCCGAAGATTAAGAGAAGTTGATAAAAAAAATATCAAAAATTATAGGGTGCCATAACGACGATGTTCAAATGAGACAACTTTTACTTTCAGACTGAGTTAGGGTCCGTTGATAGGGCGGTGTAATAAATAAATAAATAAATATTTCCGACACTCACACCAATTAGCCTAGCCCCAAAGTAAGCACTATAAGGCTTGTGTTATGGGATGCTAGGGTAACGGATAGAATACATATACTGTACATATCTTTATATATATAATTCTTCTGTGAGTGTGTATGTCACTGAACTTCTCTTAAACGACTGGACCGATTTTGATGAAATTTTTTGTGTGTGTTCAAGGGGATCTGAGAATGGTTTAGATTCACAAAGACGTGTAGACAGGACAACGTCTGTCGGGTCCGCTAGTATAAGTATATTTATATAAATACATATTAAACATCCATGACTGGAGTACAAATGCTCGTATTCATCACACAAACATCTGCCCCCACCGGGATTCGAACCCGGGACCTCTCGAGTCGGCGACAGCCATGAAACCCGGCGTACAAACCACTCGACCACGGAGGTCGTCCTAATAGTTGCTAACCTAGCTAGGGCACACGCCCATCCTTTCTATAGGTCCCTTAAAATTGCGTAGTGTAATAGCCATTTTATTTGGGATTCTCTTTTACACTGAGCTGATAACATTTGAGATTGCAAACCTAACCTAACTTTTAATATTGAAGTTAATGTTTAGTCACACTGAATATAAATAACACTATTTGTATTTATACTGTATGACACAGCAATCAAAATGCAGGTAAACAATTAATGTATATTTAATAATTATGTAATGAAAAGTGACTTCATGAATCACCTCTGAAGTCATTTTTCAATTTGACGACTCTGTAAATAATAAAACAGGGAGAAAAAAACAGTCCTTGCTGAGTTTCTTGCCGGTTCTTCTCAGTACAAGGTCTCCCGCCGTAGATTTACGAACCGATGGCGTAGCTTCTAGACATTCATATGTGATTGTAACAGCCTAAACTGAATAAATGATTTTGATTGATTGATTAATTGATTGATTGCATTAACATGCTCCCACAGCTCACTCAGTTTCTTAGTATATAATGTGTTTCGTATTTAGTTTATTCAAACTTATTACGTATACTAGCCAAACGGTAGAATGGAACTGATAATGAAAAGGAGGACTCGCCGACTGATTGTCCGTCAAGTTATTTAAAGAAATAAACAAATGTTCATTTCATAATGCTTTCTATTAGGGAAGGCCTGTGCCCCAGCAGTGGGGGCATTAATAGGCTGATCATGATGATGATGAATGCTTTTCATTCTTAAGGACTTAAGTTGTTTACATACTTCTGTATCGCTTTTATTAGCAAGATATCTCTTATCTATTAGACAAGTCCGTCCGTCCGTCTGTCTGTGGTGCTGTTTCAGCGGCCAAACCGTAAGAGATAGATAAAGAGAATGTTTAAGTTATAAGTTAAGAATAGTCTGATAAGACTACAAACCGGATTTGAGTAACGTAGCACTTCCGGTTTTCGAGAAATCACGAATTTCAAACGAAACCACACAAAATCTCCGAAGTTCTCAATTAATTAAATACATTTTTTTTAAATCAGGTTTTGGTGAACATTTGGTTCACTGGCTTGCTAGTATTAGATAATGGTAACGATTCTGGCATGATTCTCTAAAGCTAAACTTAAATTTGACAACAGCGTATCCCTGTCATTCACTATACAGAATGAAAAGGACAGACTGATGTTAAATTTAGTTTTAAATTTAGAGAATCCTGCCAGAATCGACACCCATATTAACTTTGAATAGTGAAAGGTGAAGGTACATATTTGATTTACTTAAGTTTTAAATGGAAGGGTCCAAATGTAGATGTCACGGTGGCTGTCCGTCTGTTCAAGCTACAATCTTTAACTTTTGACAATGTTAGTGTCTTTTAGAGCTAAAACCATACAAATTGACAAAAACTTGAAACAAATTGCTAAAAAAATTAAAATTAATAAACTACAATAGCTACTTCTTCTTTCAAATGTTTAATTCTCGTAAAGGTATTTCGTTTGACGCTGTGGGGTCACCTACGATGCGAAGAGACGGCGCTGCTTTGTAGCCAACCTTAGATTAAAACAAAAAGGGTAGATACGGCACTAGTCTCACAAAAGTGATCCGCATAAATTGTGGTCCACGACCCTAATCGCTTTAGTCACAACTTGACATGCAAACGACGTACATGTGAACGCCAAAAAGAAATATTGCTAATATTTTGTGTTTACATGATAAAACAATGCCTAAATGTGTTTTTGAAATATGCTCAAATTGCTCAAGAACTAAAAATAAAACCCACGGCATCACTTTTCATTCGTAAGTACCGTACAATATATTTTTTCATAAAAATGCTATTTGTTTTGAATCTTATTCAGTAGTGACGTCGAGTACTGCTCGCGTGATTGGTCGGTAATGCAGTGACGCGGATCTCGCCGTCTCGTTCGCGCTGCCGTTGAAACTTGACGTGCTGTTTCGTTTGGGTCGGTAATGCAGTGACGCGGATCTCGCCGTCCCGTTCCCGCTGGCGTGGGATCAGTTTTTGTTTGATGCAAGTATGAGCGTACCGTATCTACCCTTTTTGTTTTAATCTAAGTAGCCAACAAGAGATTAGACACGGATCAGACACATTCTAGCTATTCTTAAGCTGCAAGGCAGCGCCATCTCTTCGCATTATAGGTAAACCCACAATGTCAAATGAATACTTTTACAAGTATTAAACATTTGAAAGAAAAAATAGCAATTATAGTTATAATTTTTATTATTTTTAAAGCATGTAACTGCTTGATGTTTAAATCTAAAGAAAATATAACTAGAAAAAATTCCACGCGGACCAGGCAGCAGACGGGACTCGAACCCGCACCCTTCGCAATCCGGGCGAATGCACTGGGTGCGGGTTCGAGTCCCGTCTGCTGCCTGGTCCGCGTGGAATTTTTTCTAGTTATATTTTCTTTAAATATGTATAAAAAAAATGATGTGGTGTCGTGGGACACCAGGTAGGAACGAAGTTCCTTCGGCTAACGTACAATCGACACAAATTGCAAACGCGCTTGTGTATGCGACCGTCGCGCCTGCGCACGTCTCATTTAACGGTTTTATTCCACGCACTTTTTTCCACGGATTTTTGAAGTTATACTTCTTTAGGGGCGTTATGAAAAAATTATGAGAGTGAAATTTTAAGATGCGCGCGCATCACTGTAACACAAAATTTTAACAGCATGAAGTTGGTCTTGGCTTTAGCGACTAACTTCATGCGTTACTTTTGTGTTTACCGCACATTAAGAAAATCTACCAACAAAATAGAAATAGAATCTCTATTTATTGGGTGCTAACGACTGCATTGTGAAGGCCTATCAAAAGTATTTATTAATCTGGAACAACGGAACCAAAGCGCGATTCAGGAGACTACAGCGCCATCTCTTGACCATTGGTGTAGTAGAACCAAAAACCACATTCCTCCAAGCCTGCCTAGAACAACTCGGTTCCAATACTGACCCGCTGTATCCTGAGCTGCAGGTCCCGCACCCTGGGCTCGGCGTCGGCGTGGACGTCGTGCGCGGTGTGGTGGAAGGTCCACCAGCCGAACACGAACCCGAGCAGGGTCTCCACCAGCTCGAACTTCTTCCGCTCCTGCACGGCCTGCAGCTGGAACACGTACTCCAGCGACGCCTGGCAGAAGTCGCGCTCCGCCATGTCCATCGCCGCGTCCGCCTGAACGACGACATATACATATTGTCACAAACGCTCTCGAAACGTAACCGCGAAAGTGCCAGAGATCGAATTTGCCAGATCACCGCGGGTCGCGATAGAGGTCGAGTAATGCGACTCATTCTGAAACGAGCCTTATGAAGTGCGACGTAAGGGAGAAAGTGCAACGACATCTGCACTTGTTTACAAGTTGTGCGCGTTACCTGCGTAGGTATAAGTAGGTATTTCGTACTCGCGGGTGCTAGGTAATTCTCAATTTAACAGGTACTTTCTAGAATGCGTCGATCGGCGTATATAAGCGCGATTGGCGCCACGCAGAGACAGTTGAGTTTCAACAGCGATTTGGGAGCGAATCCAAAGACGATCAAAGTGCAACAAAAGTATTCCAGTGCGATAGTTTAGTGACTTGTATAGTGAAATACAGTGTTTAGTGAGTGTTTTGTAATTAACATTGTGTGTTAATTGTGTGAACTGTGTGGTGAATAAAGAACTGTCAAGCGTGAACTGGCATATAATTTCGAACCCCATCCCGACACGTAACAATATATTTATTATGGTTTCAATATAATATTGAAAAATAATGTTTCCCGATATTTTTGATAGATAATTAAATACAGATTGAGAGAGAGAATATGCAAAACATATGAACAACCTATTTGAAGTTGATTTCATCACTAAAATCACTTAAAATAAATGGCTCAAAAGCAATGATGCCAAGCCACAATAAAAAATAAATAGTCAAATGTGTTTCCCTTTTTTAAGTTTTTAATTCCAGACTTAGACAACACTCCTCAGTTGTTTAAAAAATATTAAGATATTATTTTATTAACATTTCTGATAATAACATCTATAGACGCTAAAGATTTACTTCAACAAATATTTCGCCATTGACCTTTTGTCTAGAAATATATATATATAAATAAACATCCATGCATGACTATGTGCAGCCGTGACCGATGGCGACAACTGCAGATGCAGCCGGGACCGATGGCGACGACTTAACGTCCCTATCGAATCCCAAGGAACAACAGAGAAATAAATTATGTCACCCATCTCCGTTGACCGCCCATTGCGAAAGTTGATTAACGATTTCATACGATTTGCAATTAGATATAATTAAATTTCAAAAATTACTTAATGTAATTATTTGTATTATATCATGGTATTTATAATTGTATAGAAAAGACAGTTATTTTAATTTAGTTATTTGCCTTTTGTATAAATTACATGCCATAAATTATGATAAAATATGTAGAATCTGTTTTGTATACATGTCATCTTATTGTACCATATTTTTTGCAATAACGAAATCTAATCTAATCTAATTTTATATATCAGACCTTGAATTTAAAGTTAAAATAGAAGTTGAGATCACAATTATAGAAATTTAATGCGCCAACCACTTTCAGAAAAGATAAAAGTTTTAGGAAGAACTTTTCAAGCAAGACCTACGAAGTTTATGAGAGCACTACAGATAAGGATAATTTAAGTTTAGCCAGGTCGGACAGGACAAGATTGACTGATGGTGCGATACAGTTCCTGTCGCCTCAATTGTCTTACTTGTCAGTGACATGTAGTACCAGGGGCGTATTACAAAAAATCTGGGCCTTTTTGGCCTTACGGTCAATACGCCCCTAGTACTCATACTTAACTAAGTAGGCTGGATTAACAAGTAAATATACAAAAATAAATTGAAAAACATTTTCACAATCAGAAAGTCTAGACCATACTTCAAATATTTTATCTTAATAATGTGTCTAATATAATAATGTAAAAAAGAGACCTCCTGGAAGACATTCTCCTGCTTCTTGGTGGAGAGGGAGAGCGTGCGCTCCTGTGTCTGGCAGAACTTGGCCGTCTTCTTGTCGAACTTCTTCTTGCCCTCCTGCGCACAAACAGTAACGACAAACTATAAATATCATTATCAACATGAGATCGTGATCGTGGGGGCTTCCTTTGTACAAGATCAAAATAGGGAAAAGGGCTATAAAGTTTCGGGGAAATATTATAATCATCTATATCTATACTTATAATAAATCTGTAGAGAGGTCAATTCTGTACATGAAATATATTTTCAAAATAACTATCAGGGGGTGATAAGTGATCGAACCTGATGCCAAAAATGCAATCAGCAAAATTTTTGTCTGTCTGTCTGTGTGTATGTTCCTTATAGAAACAAAAACTACTCGACGGATTTTAACGAAACTTGATACAATTATTCTTCATACTCCTGGGCAGGTTATAGTATACTTTTCATCACGCTACAATCAATAGGAGCAGAGTAGTGAACGGAAATGTTGGGAAAACGGGAGAAGTTACTCCATTTTTTAAGCTTCCGTCGCGTGTGCAGCCTTAATGGTTAAAGTTACATAGAAATCATGTATGACGGAAATATTGTACATAAAATTGTCAAAAAAATATCCCGCAACAGCATATGTCTATCTTTTATGGTTTATAACACAAGCCCGAGAACAAAAACTATTGTTTACACTACAGCTCTACACCGAAGCGAAGCGAGGGCGGGCCGCTAGTAAGAAAATAAAGTTTACAGGTTCCATCTCCCCCTGGAACCTGTAAACTTTATTTTCCTATGATTAAAATATTTCAAGTAATTTTTATTATTTTCCCGTGACAAAAACATCTTTTTCTTTGTTAACGCAGGCAAAACCTCTGTTTACAGACTACGGCGCCTTTAAGAGGCACACCGGCGAACGGACCTCACCCGGTCCACGGGCCCCCGCAATGGCTGCCCACTGAGGACCCCGTAACTCTTACGGGTGCTTTACGGCATAATATCCGCTAAAAAACCCTGTGAATACCCTCTATGCTGCTTAGTGCGAAGCCACGGGATCCCCGTTTAGGGATTCTTCCGCGTTGTGACAAAAACATAGTGCGCGATACATTTATTTTGAAATATTAAATCTCGCGAGTTTTGCCAATTATACACAAGAAAGTACCTAATCAATAGTGTTTGCAAAAATATGTTTGATAAATCGATAAATGAATCCTTGATAAAGAAAACCTACACGATAATCACTTCTAGGTTGTATCATAAGAGCTGATAAGTACATTATTATTGTCGGGTCACCTCTACTGATGGAAATATAATGTTAGCATTAAGATGTTCACACCAATCACGGACCTATTTAGAACTTGTCGTTCCGCCTTTAAAATTTCCTCTAGGTACGTAACTAAACTGTTTAATGGGCAAGAAGTATATTTTTCTTTTTATAGGGGTGTTCCATCCATCTATCAGCCTTTCTCCGTCCACTGCTGGACATAGGCCTCCCCCATAGAACGCCACAATTCGCGGTCCTGCGCTATCCGCATCCAGCGGCTCCCAGCACATTTGACGATGTCGTCAGTCCACCTCGTTGGGGGCCGCCCGACGCTGCGTCGTCCGGTACGTGGTCGCCACTCGAGGACCTTTCTTACCCAACGGTTGTCAGATTCTCGAGCGATGTGGCCTGCCTATTGCCACTACAGCGTGCTAACTCTTCGGGCTATGTTGTACACACCGGTCCTTCTACGGATCTCCGTATTTCGGATCTTATCACGTAGGGAAACACCGAGCATAGCCCTCTCCATAGCACGCTGCGCGACTCTGAGTTTTGTTATGAGGCCGACATTCAGAGACCACGTCTCAGTCCCATAAGTCATCACTGGTAACACACACTGGTCATAGACCCTTCTTTTCAGGCACTGGGGACTTATAGGGGTGTTACAGTGCTCTTATCTAATACTATAAAGCTGAAGAGTTTGTTTGTTTGGTTGGACGCGCTCATCTCAGGAACTACAGCTTCAAATTGAAAATCTTTTTGTGATAGATAGCCCATTTATCGAGGTTATAAGCTACATAACATTATGATAAGACAAATATGAGCGGAGCATCAATGAAAAACGTTGTAAAAATGGGGAATAAAAATATTTCTCTTCAGAGCTTTCGTTGCAAAACATTATGTATGAAGAAATTGTTCTCCTTTTAAAGTTATAAAAAAAGTACGCGAAAGCATATGTCTATCTTGGTTGACTCACTATAACTTTTTTTTGGTTATTAATAATCGTTCTTTTATAATGCATTATCTGCGAAGGTGTTTTTGTAAACAGGATAATAATTTCTTGTCAAAATTAATACATTATTCTTCACAAGTATTTAATTTAGATCAAACTTCATCTTGACTTCAGTCGATTTCAATAAATATCATAGTTTTAAAATAACACTGCATCAAAATAATCACCACGTTTACTTTGTCCAATTTGTATGTTTGTTACTCAAAAACTACTGTAAGGAATTAGATGAAATTTGGTGCACATATAGTTTATGACCTGGATTGAGGCAATGGGTACTTTTTATCCTGGCAAAGTATCAGTTTTCTGATGGATTTTCAAAAACTATATGTAACGCGGGCGAAGTCGCGAGCGGTGGCTAGTTTCTAATATTTTGATTGTTTTATATAAGAAATGACACCCCTTTATATTTGGGAATTCATTTAGGACTTCGCATTCCTGACCACAGGGGGCGGGTGTCCCGGTCGCTTAGGCGGCGCGTTTGGTCGGAGCACACGATCGACTACTCGACCGTTCGGGTAGCTCGACTATCGGGTTGCTCGACCGGGGGCTATGCTCGACCAGACGCGACGCTCGACCGGCCCCGGGGCTCGACCGACTTGTATAGGAGGTTTGTTCAAAAAGTATCGCGAATTTCATGGTTTTTCAAGAATTATTTATTTATTCATGAATATCTATTTTGTCCCCTTCAAAATTATCCCTATCAGACATTAAACACTTGTGATAACGTTTTTTCCAAACCTCGAAGCATTTCAAAAAAATCATTTTTTGTGATCAGCTCCTCCTTTGATGCCATCTTTTATCTCCTAAATCGTGGCGTAGCGTCGTCCTTTCATGGGCCTCTTCAGTTTCGGCACGGCGTTGTTACATTTATTACGGGTGAATTATACCAAAGTATAATAACTTTTGTATGGTTTGAAGATCGTGTTTCTTGCACTTGTGAAGCTTTGACTATGCCAACTTCCATAAGGAATTGATGGGAAATGAAGTAGATTAACACCTGCATGTAAAACCTTTCGTTCAATATAAACTTTCATACATTGGCAACTGGTATAAAAATGGTTTTAAATTTAGCTTTTACAACAAGCGGTGTCTGTAGAGTGCGTCTCGTATTGAAACCGATCGCGATAAATGTTTACATGACGAGAGCCGAGCGCACAGGTGAGAAATACAGCATTCCTGTGATTCTGTATATAGAATGAAGGGGAGGGATTGGTGTTGAATTTGGTTTTGGGTTCGTAGAGTCACGCCAGAATCGACACCAAATATACCTGTTATTTTGTTTGCTTTATAGCGCCTAACACGTCCTCGAACAGGCCCTGCCAGAATACCAGCGCTGATACAGTGAGAGAATATTTATAATTTTTATTATTTTAAAGCATGTAACTGCTTGATTATTAAATCTAAAGAAAATATAACTAGAAAAAATTCCACGCGGACCAGGCAGCAGACGGGACTCGAACCCGAATCCGGGCGAATGCACAAAAAAATTTCGACGCGGTCTGTGAGGGCCGCGGTAGCATAATTGGTCAGTGCATTCGCCCGGATTGCGAAGGGTGCGGGTTCGAGTCCCGTCTGCTGCCTGGTCCGCGTGGAATTTTTTCTAGTTATATTTTCTTGAGAGAATATTTTCTCATTGTATCAGCATAAGCTGAGGCAGGGTCTTGATTGGCCGTCTTAAATCTAGTGATTAATTTTTGTTCCTAGGTTAAGTTTCTTTTCTATAAATATATTTTTTTTCCTCTGTTTCTTATATACAAGATGGCCAATAAAAATTTTTCATTACAGATACGTTCAAGCGTGGACAAATGCCACGCTTGCGGACTTTAACGTACAAAACTATGCAACAAATAAATCACAAGACATATCCAAACTTAATGATTTATTTCACGTAATGCGTGACATACTCATATAATTTCAGGCTGAAAGTGGCCAGGCATAGTTGTTAATGGCGCAGTTTTCTCTGAACAAGTTTCTACGGTTCCATGTGGTGGGCTAGCATTTTCCTAATTAGTGAATGCCTGTCGCGGCGTCGTCCGGCGCGGGCGGTCGTTAGCGGCGACACGCAAGCTGCCGTGCTATGCTGACCAGTAGCTACTAGTGATGTAACCAATGTCATTTTTTGAACATTCGCGAATGCGGATGCGAATGTCTGGTACCGACATTCGCGAATGCGAATGCGAATGCGAATATTTAGTTTTTTTTTTTAAATTGGCGCCAATTGTCTATGGCATGGTAGCAGTCTCGTTCGAATTGCCGAGTTGATATGAACTCATCCGACTGAAGTGTCATTCCGCTCGCACCGGTCTTTCCGTAAACAAAACAAGTGAATTTTGAGGTTAGTGATTGGGAGTGGTAATAGTGATTTATTAACATGAGTAAATCGAATTCTAATGAAACATGGACTTATTTCACACTTTGCTATGCTGAAAGAGCTAAATGCAAACTGTGTAACAATGAATATTCAAGGAAAGGTAGAACTACAACTTCTTCAAATTGTTTTTTTCTAATATTCATATTCGCAAAACATTCGCAGAGATTTTGCGAATGCGAATATTCAAAAATATGCGAATATTCGCGAATGCGTATGCGAATATTCGTTACATCATTAGCAGCTACTAGCAGACATTATTACTCAACGCGATTCTTATTATAATAACTTTATTTCTCTCCACAATCCAATACTTGCTCCTTAGGTGACAGTTTATAAAAGTTAGATTTTGAGAGACCGGTGATCAAACTAAGCTGACGTCTGTGTCGTACACCGACCTCCTCCACTCTCTATTTAGGTACCATCTATACCAATGGTTCCCAACC